AAATACAGTACAATATCGAGACAATCCCCACACCCATATAAATGTGATGCAATGTCGGCCTGACCCCCGTATTGAACTCATACAGTGCAATGAAAGGACGACCCCCACACCTATATACATGTGATGCAATATTGAATCAATCTCTGTATCAAATCAATCATTTATTTTCATACATATAACCACGTCCGCCATACCCTCATATCTATAAATATGATGCAATGTATGTTCGGTACAATCTAATCCAATCTATCTTCTAATAATCAACTCATTTCTCTAATATAATGGGAATCATAATTCCCAACAAATCACTTAAACAAATTATATATTTGAGTCTTACAAGTGTCACAATCAAGCTAGATTTATTGAATCCCCACTTAACCGCTACATTTCTAAAACTCAACCCGATTTGTGTTTATTCCTGATATTTAACCGAATCAGTTTAATTACTGATATTACCAATATCAACCGACAATCTAATGTCTAGACTCAAACCATGACTAAACTCAACTCAAATACAATCACTGTTATGTTGTTAATAAAAAACTTATTAATATAAATCATTATTGTCGTATAAAGATATAAATCTATTTTATCCATAAATCTATTACTTATTATGTAATCGTTACGAATCTTATTAATTTCATTGAAATGTCCACTACTGTTTACATTAAAGGTGACACCAAACAAATAATTTATAATATATTCAATACATTCAATCGTTGTTATATATGTTTAATATATAACTAGTAACCAGTAAACTAAACACTTGCTAAGATGTAAATTAAACTGTTTATTATATAAACCTAAATAAAATATCTGAATTTAAATCAATTGAATTTCTATCCTAAGTCCTATCAAACAATAGTTCGCTTTAAAATTAAATCTAATCATAACTATAAAACATATAACCAACAAATCAACTAACCAATCAACCAATCAACCAAACAACCGATTATTCAATCAATCATTTAATCAATCAATTAACTAACTGACTAATTAATCTTAATTAATAAACAATAGAATAAATATAACTATTAATGCTACATAATAAGTAGACTAAGTCTGACGAACTAAAATAATTGTTATTAAAAGTAAAGCAACTAAAATCTTATATATTAATCCCAATCTAACTTAACCTAATTTAACCTAACCTAACCTATTATTACTTAAATGTATATACTTTATAAGTTAATATATTAAATAATTATTAAAGTAATTCGAATATTAAATAAATCTATACTTAAAATAATTACAACTATTATCTCAATTCTAATTTCAATAAAATATATATATCGTATACTACCTATATCCGTACCTTATTAAATATATATATATATATATCCATATATATATACACACCAATACCCTCTCATACATTCATATTTAATTACCAAACGTTATCAATAAAAAATATCAAAGATTCAATCATTATATAAATAATACTATAATAATTAAATAGTAATAATACTATCATAGGTTATATAGTCATTGGTCTGTATTAAGTATCAAATACCAATGACTAAGATTTTAATCAAATCGATTACTATATTAAATAATCGACCAAATATACAAATTAATATTAAATAATACGTATAGGAACGTATATACACTATATTACAGAAATAATAGACAAACCTATAGGTTGTCCTATAAATATATTTATATACTGTATATTACAGCATACAAACCGTACACACGCTAGCAATATAAAACCTACACCGCGCATACACGTGGGTCATAGCCACCGATGCTAACCAATGATAATGAGTAAAACTCATTATCTACTTATTGAGTTTCATATAACTCAGTTAATACGCGCAAGTGCCGTACCGATCGGCACTTCCTAACCCCAGACGCGTGTCTATGTTGACTACAACGTCTATAACCATATTTTACACGATACGCATATTCATGCGCATATACCCAAACCCTAACCTGTATACCTAACCTCCTACACTATTGGCTCGAACCGTATCGTCGGCCATTTTGAAGATCCCCCACCGGGTTAGCCAAGGCAGAGCAGAGTTACAAGAACTCTACTGGCCCCGACCACCAAGTTTCTGTCGATCCCCCACCGGGTTAGTCAAGGCAGAGCAGAGTTACAAGAACTCTACTGGCCCCGGCCACCAAGTTTCTGTCGATCCCCCACCCAGCCAATCGCCGCAGAGCAGAGTTACAAGAACTCTACTGGCGTCGACCGCCGAGTCTACCAATATACAATCGAATCATCTCGATTGCATTGAACATGTATATTAAACGCTGCGCCCCTGCCCGGCTGCCGTCGGTAATCGGCGCCCGCTGGCTGCTATCTATCTACTGAACAGTCACTAATGCGTAGGACTAGTCTCAGTAACTCAATACTATACTAATAAAAAGAATACGGTACAACCGCACTACCGGTGCACCGCCACCACATCACATGCGGTGTAATCGGCGAACCTCGAGTACCGATTCAGTCGGCAGAGCAGGGTTACAAGAATCCTACTGGCCGACCCAAAGGTACGGTGAAACGAAATCGACGCTTTAATACATATTATTTATTTGCAACGCTACTCTCTGCCTGCGCCGCCGCCAGAATGGCCGTCGCCCGCATAATCGCTCAATAATTTAAATAAATCATTTGAATAGATTAAAACATTTAATTACTTGACTTAAATTGACTCATCAAATAAAACCATGAAAGAGAGAGATAAGAGACCGGTGTCGCCGTCGTGGATGGCCACCAGTGCCTGATTCTGGAGATGTTCAGAGATAATCGCCACAGTTGAATTGTGATGATGTCTTGAGTTCACTTTAGCATAAATACAGTATTGTAGTATTATAGAGATAAAACAATAAAGGTTTGCTAGGCGTGAGTTCGGATAGCAGGCCCAAAACTCTTCAATGAGACGTGAACTTGTTTAGCAGTCAACTTAATCGTGATTTTGTGTTGAAAATAGGGGTTTATATACGCGTTTTGAGACATCAATCGATAATAAAAAGCACTATGAAGGCTGAGTATTGATTTTAGATTACTGATGTTTTATGTATCCGCCACTGGTAGTTGTCTATGGCTACGAATTCGTAGGCAGCGTACTTTCAGATGATTGACAGGTGAATTGAGTTTAACGTTATGGCAGTTAATTGTAATTTACTGAATTGTTGTTATTACAGTAATTTGGGAAAGATGTATGTGTTAGGCTTTGACCGGATACCGGCACTTCTTACTATATTTAATTACGATTAATAATTAATGAGATATTGATAAATTAAATTTGTAGTATATATACATACTAAATAATATATTATTGATTATTGTATTGTGAAATTAAAATGGCGGATAAGGTAAAAATCAATAATTATATAGAAATATATTGAGAACAAAGAAAGTATAAGTGCGCAAATGCCGGTACTATATAACGGTATATACATATAGATAGTGTAACAATATATATATATATAGTGTGACAATATATATATATATATATATATAAAAGTTTATTAAAAACTTATAAAAAGTTTAGAGTTTAATAATAATAGTAATAGTAATAATAATAATAATAATTAATTAATTAAGAGAGTGAGAAAGAGAGAGATAGAGAGCAGACATACCCTAAATTTAGTAGTAGTAGTAGTAGTAGTAGTAGTAGTAGTAGTCGTCACAATATTATTAATTTTAATAATAATAATAATAATAACACTAATAGTAATAATTATAATAATACTAATAATAATTATAATAATTGTTATAATTATATATATATAAAAAATAAATATATATATATTTTATATATTAAAACTAGTTGTCTCTCTATGAGAGACAACTACACCGATCAGTGCCCAAACACATACTGACAGTGTTGGGACACACAAAGGACTGTTAGGTCCTTTGTGACCCAACATCTGTCCTACAGCCCTCCCTAACAAAGATCTTTGTTAAGGGGGGGGGGTTGTTATATAATTTATATTATAATATAACTATTAACACTTAGAGTTGAATATTTAAATAAATTAAATTCATGTAACAATTCTTTACTTAGGCGTTGTTCACATATTACGTTCGCACTTGAGGTGAGGGGGTGGGGTCGGCCAAAGCGAACTTTTGCGAACGAGGGGGAGGGGGGTAAAATCTATAAGAACGTTCGCATTTAAATAATGAATGAATCTAAGGGATTAATTTTGAGTAAACTTAATCCTTTGATAAACGGTTTAATAACTAATTTTGAATAAATATATGACTTTTGAATAATATTAATTTATTTTATTATTTGATTATTTTAAAAGTGAAAATAATTTTATAAAATATTTATTTAAATGGTGGGGGGTTAAGGACATGCGAACGTAATTTTTAAATATCATTACATGCGAACAATTGCGAACATAGGGGGGGGAGGGGGTCTAGATTTTTTAAAAACTGCGAACGTAATATGTGAACAACGCCTTACTCTAATATTTTGTAATATTTTATCATTTTTAAAACCATATTTTTTGTACTTAAGTATTATTCAATAGTTTTAGCCATTTATTAGCCATTATAAGATTATAAATTAAGTTTATATATAGTATTAAGTCAGCATTTTATAAATTTATTGATTTTATTTTATTTATATATTGAATATGTTTTAACTAGTTGAGAATGCTACATAGCATTGCCAGATCAAATTTTTAGAAAATAGTTGTAATTGTTATCTTAACTGCTTATTGTATCTATAAATATATTTATCTCTTTTAATCGCTTACTTATTAATAGAGATATAAATTAAGTTTATAAAAGTATATTTTCTAAAGAAATATTTATTGTCTATTTTGACAAATTGGACCAGGTTCTTTAAAAACTAATACATTATTTAATCAGTAAATCTAATACAATTACAATATATATAGTCATAATTTTAAAATTGCTAAATAAAAGCTACAGAAATACAAACACACAAACAGAGAAACAGACAAAATAAATAAATACATTAAAAATATAATAATTTTGTTTTAACTTTATTTAATTACAAAATTTAAATAATCAGATATAACGCTATAATACATCCACTTCGGGAGGCGTCAACTATTAGCGAATGGCTTCGTAATAATAAGTGGTTTCTCATATCATTGTTGTGGTTGACCGGTATGTTAGTGGGCGGCGCCCAACTGTTGTACTCCCGGGCCGTTCCTTTTATTTATGGCGATCAGCTTATGTACGACTGTCGTGAAGTATGGGACGATAACTGGGGTCGTAGTTATACTGTAATAGTATTTGTGACCACATTTGCTTTGCCGCTATCAATACTAGTGTTTGTCTACTCGTCTATCGCTTTCCATATCTGGCGTCACGTAATTCCCGGTAATTCAGACAAACAAAGAGATGACACCCAACGGAATCGTAAAGATAAGGTATATCTTAATAAACACTATTTTCTAGTTATTTATTGTACTGTATTAACAATTTTATGGGTGTAAATAATTTTTTAAGACCATTAATATTGACATATATTAACAATAATTCATAGTTAATAAACAATTTAACATATTATCTAACAGTAATTATTTTTATTTTTATGACTAAAAACATAACATTATATTTTACAATCCATTAGTTGACAGACTAAGAGTATATGAAACTGGAAAATCATTTTATAGATGATATAATTTTAATTACATGTCAGATATAAATTTATGTGTTTAACCAAAATGTCAATAGACTTTACACTGTTTAAGACTATAGGATTTCAATTATTATAAAAATATTTTTTTATAAATTAATTTTAATACCATATTAAAACATAGTATTTTCTAAAATTTGTGTTTATTGAAAAATCATAATTATTTTTTTAAATTTGACATTTTATAGATTTTGCAGACATAGTCACAGTTTAGTAATTATAAATTAATATTTTATGTTACAAATTGTATAAATTACATTTTATTTTAAATATAAAAAATAACTGAGAATAAATTATTTTTTTTTATAAATTTTAATACAAAAAGAGTAATAACAAGTTATTATAATATGTATTTATAGGGAATACTTTTTATTTTTAAAAAGTTATATAAATTTATATATAAATATTACAAATTTAGAATAATATGTATTTGTATAAAACATAAATACTTGAAATAATTTATAACTTTATATACAATAAAAKAAAATCATATTTAATATACAAATAGTATAATTTAAAATTTAAAATTTTGAAAACTTATTCAAGAATATTTTAGTGTATATATTGAAAAGTTGTTTGGTATATAATTATATTAATTAAATGCATATTCTAATATAATATTAATTGTTTTTGTAATTTTTGTTAAAATAGTTAGACTCTACTGTATTTGAGTTGACTATAATGTAAGTCACAAACAAATGCTAATTACACTATTGATTAAAATTCAATTACAATGAATGATAGTCACACTAGTATTCACTAATCTCTACACTATTTTTTTCTTTGTTATCCATTAGTTTTTAATTAAACTTTTATATTTATTAATAGTGTTTTGTGAAACCGTTTATACTTATACCGTATATTAGGCAATAGATTATACAATAAATAAAAAATTGTTAAATAAACATATATTAATAAATATAATTTATTTTAAGTTATTATAACTACTTACAAGAATATAATGTAACATATTATGAAACTTAAACAATATTTTATTGATTTATTGCATTATTTTATTGAACTGAATCTAAAAACAGGTGATCAGAATCTTAGCGATGATTGTTCTGTTGTTTGCTATTTGTTGGCTTCCGATACATGTATTTAGTCTATTAGTTTGGTTTTATCCTCAAATATTGACAGTTCAAACAAAACTTGGATATCGGACGTTCATTTGGACTTATTTTGTGTGTCATTTCATGTCAATGGGTTTGTTGTCAATTACATACTTTATCTATTTTTTATTACATAATAAATCTAAAGATTTTATTATTTATTTCTACATTAAAGGTCATAGTTTTGTCAATCCAATGGTTTACTGTTTTATGAGTTCAAATTTTAGAGTAAGTATTTTTGCAATATTAATCAATAATATTATGTTGTAATTATATTATAATTATATAATAATTATATTATTATTTATTATTATTTTTACACAGTAAAATAATTATGCTAATGAAATAACTAATACATTATTATTATTATAATATTGATTTAATCTATATAAATATTTTTGCTACCATACTAATTGTTGTATTMTAAAATTGAATAAATTAATAATACTATTGTTTATAATACAAATTAATTATACACTTTTTTAATGTGAAATATATATTTTTTTTAATTTCCAACTCATAGATGAATATGTGTAATGTATTACATAAATACATGTCATTAGCAAAGTGTCGACAAAACGATTTTCTTAATGAAGAAGAGTCTAATACAAGATCACAATTCGTGACATTTTATAGCAATAAACATAAAAGACAGAGAAATAACACCAAAAAAGACAGAACTGTCGACAAWGACTATAATAAGACTGATGTGTAAAAAGATTATATATTTTATTATTTTTTAGTAACAAAAATCGTTATATTTATTATATTTTATATTTGTGTCCTAATATTTACTTAAATAATATAATTCTTTGTAATTAATATTAAATAATATATATATTAATATAATTCATTCAATTTAAGTATTTATAATTTATATATTAATTAAAAACAAATGAATTGTTGTTTTATTTAATTATTGTAACAAATAAAATGATTGAACAATTTAATGTTTTATTCAATATCAAAAAATTAATGATACATTTTTAAATGTTATATATTTATATTTTTGTGATATTTTATAAATATTTTTTATAAAAGCATATACTGTTGTATAATTATGACATAAGTAAAATAGTTGATCATATAATGTATAAAAAAAATTATAATTAATTTGAAACTTGACTTTTATTAACTTAATTAAATCAGTCTAAAATTAACGTAAAAATATTGTTTTATTTGTTTATAAGTTATGATATTTTTAAAAACTATATGAAGAAAATTTTAAAAAAATAATAAATTTGATGTTGATTTAAAATCTTTAATTAAATTTAGTTGATTTGAACTTGAAATAGTAAATATTTTAATAATATATTAATAGTATTATGTAAATAAATTACATTAAATATTTTTTATTTATCATTTTAATTTTTAATAAATAAAGGTAGATATCAGTTAAAAATCATAAATACAACTACAGTATAGTGACATCAAGTGTTACAAAAATACATTATAATATTGATCAGTGGATATCTTTCTAATGATTTTTGATGACCAATGCAATAACCAAACTTATGGTTTGTTAAAATATATTTGATCTAGGTCAAATAGATTATTACAAATTTATTTTAATTAAATATTATATATTAAATAAAATAACTTTATTTAAATGTCTCTTATGATACAACGTTACTGAAAATACCAACAAATAAATCAAATATATTAGCTATTTTTGTTATTTAATTAATTTAAGTTTAGTTTTATAATTAAAATTATGTTTATTTAATTAATTAATTTATTAGATGGGCGTGTATTTCAATTTAATTGTGTTTAGGTTGTGAGGCCAACATCAGTTACGTAACACAGCTTACAATATTTGACGGCTTTTTAGTACAGTATACTAATATCACGGTTAATATTATAATGTTTGTGACTAATAGTCATCAATATAAACATATAATTGTTTGATAGACATAATCTTAATTATAAAATTAAGTTTTAATTAACTAAATAACAAATAAATAGTTATTATATGATTTATTTATTTTTAGTTTTAGTAACGTTGTATCAGAACAAACACTTATAGGCGTTAAAGTGTAGAAAACCCAAAATTGGTTATTTAATTAGCGTATTATAAACTTTTTGTTTTTTATCATGGTCGTTAATTACATTTTTTTTAAATAAGGAACAGTTTAATAAATTTTAGTTAAATATTTGATTATAATAATGATTTATTGCTTCTCTAACTCGTTTGAAGTGATACTAAATTATTAGTATTGATAACACATTAGTAAATCGTAATTAATTAAATAAAATTATTTAAAAGCAAACATAACTATTTCAATAATAAAATTATTTATTTCAATACTTAATACTATTATTTAATGTTATTAAATATCTACTAAACATTTGTAATTAATTAAAATATAGTTTTGAATCATTGTATTAAAAATTACAATATTTGATATATTCAGTGTTATAAAAAAATTATTTTAAATATTTTGTCGGCCAATTAGCCGATAATTGCGTAATAAAAACGAAACGATTAATAAAATTAATGTTTATTTAATACTACATAAAAACGAATGATTTATAATAACTAAAAAATACGATATATTAGAGTCGATATATTTGCATATCTGTCGACAATTTTAAATTATACAGTATTTAAATCTTCATAATTTTTTGTAGTGTTTTAAACTACTCTAAAATTTATAAATTAAAAATTATTGAATTTATCAATTAAAAATTTTATTTAACTAATCAAATGGTAAAATAAATAATATTAAGTTATTTATAAGTCATAATATGTTTAACAGCAGGGTTAAGCAAGGTATTGGTTTTTAGGGGGGTCTAGAGTCTAGGGTCAACTTACAAAATTGTCGAAAAATCTTGGGAGGCGGGTCTAGGGTGGGGAGTAGACTTTTATTACATTTTTAAACGGCAATTYWTTCAAAAATCCAAAATCAAGGGGGGGCCAAMTCCCAAAATCTCGATCTTAGGGGTCATTTGGCTTGACCCCCTACCCYTTGCTTAACCCTGGTTTAACAGGTATTCAATGGCATACCACAAAAGCATAGTTTTGAGTATTGAAATAAATAAGTAAATGTTTGAAATAATTCTGAAATACTSTATAATATTGTAAAATATATATATTGGAAATTAATAGGATTTATAATCTAAAACTTAGAAAATAATTTAATTAAAACAATGTCAGAATATATAATATCATCAATAAATTAGTCAAATAGTATATGAATTTACGATTTATGATTATTACAATTTTTAATTAAATTTTATACAATGAGAAATATGTATTATTGAATATACTCTATTAATTTAATTAATTTTTTTAAGACATTTATATTATATTGCATTTCCAGTAGAAGGCAATCCTGTATTAGTATAGTTAAACAAATCATTATATATTATTAGGGTTTGTAATGATTCACTCCTCGTTTTATTGTCTAAATGTATCCAATATTTACTGGGAATTCAAAGGGAATCTATTTCCCTGTGAAACCAYWTTTTAAACTCTAAACAACACATTTTATTATAATGTTTTAATTACAAATGTTATATTAAATTTTATTTTGAGTGGCATTGATGAATAATATCACTAAATTTATAGATTTTGAATTTATTTTTAAATATTTCAATGAAATTTTTGTAAAAATATTTAAGTTTTGGTACCATTTATTATAATAATATTAATTATATTCTCTTTTTTAATAAGCTAGGGAGGGAAAATAAAGTATTATCAATATTTTCCGGAAAAATTTGAGGAATTTTATTGGGGAACTTTCTCCCATTGGAATGATTAAAAACCCTACATATTATACTTATACAATAGAATTGCTTATGTTTTTTGTATCAATATTTTGTACAGTATTTTATATATATAAAAAAACTAATCAAATGTTAAAATATAACTTTATATACATTTATAGAAAATTTAAATCATTTTGTTGTTAACTTATCTAAAACTAATATATAGAAATACAGACATATAATTACTGTATAAATAAATACTAATCAATTAACTTTAGATATTTAGATAAATAACTTAAAATAATAATAATAATAATAATAATAAGATTTTCAAAAAGTCTGCGCTCAGTTGGTGCGGAAAGTTAAATACAATTATATTT